ATATTACAGATTCTTTAAATATATCACCCACACAACAATTTGCTTGATGTGCAAAGCATGGAATAAACACCTTGTCCCGCATTTCACGCCTTAAACAACGATGAGCCGCTGCATATGACCTAGCCGAATTAGTTACAAGACAGTTTGCCCTTATATTCAATTTTTTTGTTTTTTCAAAAAGGTCATGAATTCTAGAAATTACTTCTTCTTTTCTCTGTCTTTCAATGCTAATATTTTCTGCACTCCAAATTAAAGTTTCTCCTGAAGATGTAATAAATACTACACCCATTAATTCTTCATTAACAACATTGCGCCAACCATCAAAGGCAATCGTAATACCAATCTTATCCTTGCAGACAAGTTCTTTAATTGTTGTTTGAACTTTATTAGTTGTATTCATTAAAATACGATTGCTAAGTGATCTTCGGTTGGGTAATTTCAGATATGGTGAAATAAAATGAAATAATTCTTTAACTTCAGGATTTTCTATCCACCAAAATGCAATACTAGCTGAGATTATTGCCCGAAGCACAAGACGTTCAAATTTGGAAACTTCAGAAGTATTAAGAGGATGGCCAATATATTGAGATAATACTGTTTGTCTTTTTGAGGAAGACAAATTTTCATTAAAAGCTAATAATAAATTAAAAGAGTGAGTTGACATTGTTAAAATTGAATCATCATCATCTTCTTTTATTTGAGATATTGCTACATGTTTGTTTGATGTTGAAGATGTAGCCAAGTTAATAATATTTTGTATTTGTTTAGATGAATGTTTTGCAGCAAAATAAGAACAATCTTTAAGATGATTAGCACAGTAACATAAAGTATTTGTAATTTTTAAACTCTCATCCTGCAAAGCAAAATCTCTTCCTACAGCTTCCATGCAAGCTAGACAAATATATTTTCGATTACTTTTATTTGCCCACTCATTGGGTATAACATAAAAGTATTCGCTAAGCTGATGTGGTGGCTTCCCTCCTTTGCGTTGCATAATTTTTTTACACGATGACAATTAACAAAAAGTTTGAGCTAAGATATAAAAATTGGTTATATTGTAAGATTAATGGATCAATTGATCATCTAACATTTAAACTCAAAGGTAGATTGGATTGTATTATTATAGTCGGGGAATATACCAAATTTGGGTAGTGTCGATCTCACCTTTTATGATAATAAAAGTATCGATCAAATGATTCTAGAAATATCCAACCCATCATAATGACTTTATAAAATTTGAATTTTCTTACTAAAAATTCGTTATAAAAACATTTTTGTTGTAAAATACAGTACTATAATCTAAGAGAAATAGCTTCTTTAATG